CATCATTATCAGAAACTAAAATCTTACTCCTACATTCTGAAATGCAGTATTCAGCATGACAGAAAAAATACAAAGCACGTAAGCGAAGTGGAAGAACACGAGGTTTCATCATGGGGAAAATAAAACGAAATAATTTAATTTAAAAGCCTGTGGATAAGCAGACGTTCACAGGGGCGAAAACAATAGGCAAAGAAAAAAACTGTAGGTAGCCTCAAATACAAATGGTCGTACTCTAGGTGCAGAATCAATTGGGAAAAACATTTTTCCCAGGTGAAAATTTAAATAATTAATTCAAATTATTTTGTTTTATTTTTCCCGTGATGCTTTAGTGTGATTTATGGTCACAGGTTATATGAAGCTCGTCCCTTCTTTTATTTCCGCTCAGGAAGCACGGTGGAGTAATGGATAGCGGCGGCTTGGATTGAAGAGAGCCGAGTTCGAATTCCAGTCGAATCCATTACATTCACTTACGTGCTAATACCCTTGGGAAAGATGTGAATCTCTTCTTCTCCCTCCAGGTATAGGTAAATAGCAGGACAAACTGGGTTCTATAGCCTTGGATGGCAACTGGTCTAGGAGAACGACAACTCTGAATTCAAAACCTGCGGAGGGTCGTTTGGGGACCTTGTGGCACGTAGTCCACCAGGTCTCTGTATTCGGCACTTCAAAAAGTGTGGATGGTCCTGCACGAAATCTTCACCACTATAATCAAATCTCATGTGCTATACATGCGGGTTGGGGACCGCTTGTGAATTCCAAATTCCCATGAAACTCCAATATTGGAGCCGGCTCAACCCACCTCGGGTGAACGCCGTTACAGGTATAGGTAGGTAAGTATTTGATGATCGCGTGAGCGTGAATCTCGTGTGACGACTAGGATCACCCTTTCATAGCGTTTAACGTTGTCAAGCGTTTTTTTTTTTGCTCTATCTAAGCTCCGAGCATTTTACCCGACTAAATAGATAAGCTTGCCTTTGGCCTTTTGTCCATTTTTTTCAGTATTTTCTTTTGTATTCGAGACATTATCTGGATAAGAGTTTTATGTTCTGGCAAGTTTTCCGTTTGTTCCATCAAAGTATGTTTTTTTTTTTTTATATATATATATATATATATATATTCTTATATACATTCTTATATATATATATATATATATATATATATATATATATATATATATATATATATATATAAGAATGTACTCAAAGATTAATGATTGAAAATAAAATGTGTATAAGGAGGAAAAACCAACCAATATCCAACTCGAATGCAATCAATACTGTCACAAGTCGCTAAGTAGTTCTGTTAGTGAGCAGACGATAACAGAAACCAGATCAATAGATTATACCTCAGTCCCTCACTGAACATCTGTTTTCTCTTTCCCCATGATTCATTAGATTTCGTTTGCCGCCATTTACATATACCGCGAACCTTTTTATCGCTTACAGCCCCCTGGTCTACAGTAATTATTGCTGATCGAGCCAAAATTTCTAAGAGATTCCCACAAGCTATTCGATTCTACGATAAATAGGGACGGTGTAAATTCAATGATACTTTCTTGAAATTTAGGACAAAATTTAATTTCGTCTAAATTTAGAAATATATATATATATATATATATATATATATATATATATATATATATATATATATATATATAGATAGATAGATAGATAGATAGATAGATAGATAATATTAGTGGTAAATATACATACATATGCAAAATATATAAATATATATACATACATGCATACACATACATATATATTTTTTGAATAAAAAAATTCCAAGAGGATAGAATCCAGGTAGGACTCAATGTCCAGGACAGAGTAAGGATATAATAAAAAGGCTCTCACTTAAACCGTCTTTGACTCACCTCTCTAAATCTTCTCTCTGTTAAGTTTTAATCTCCCACCTTCTCTCGTCTGTTACCCCTCCCTTTAGCTCTAACATTCGTCGCACACTCTCCTACTTACACTCTCTCTAAATTCTATTTTTTATTTCCGGTGTTGTTTTTTCTGTTTTCTTTTTGAATTTGTAGGTCTGATGAATTGGATCGTATTTACGATCCCAATTGAATAAATTATGACCATGGAATATTAGTGTTTAAGCATTTTTATTATATCCTTACTCTTTCCTGGACATTGAGTTCTACCTGGATTCTATCCTATTGGAATTATTTTTAATACAAATATATATGTATGTGTATGTATGTTTGTATATATATTTATATATTTTAGATATATGATTGCATATGTATTTGTATAGTTACCACTAATATTATCAATATATATGCATATATATATATATATATATATATATATATATATATATATATATATATATATATATATATATATATATATATATATATATATATAGAGAGAGAGAGAGAGAGAGACAGACAGACACACAGACAGACAGACAGAGAAAGTAATTTTTTTTTATTTATTTTTTAATCCTTCGGATTTTTATTACTTAAGCGTTATTTTCAGTGGATACTCGTATTTGTGTAGACGCTTCGTTTATTTTTTAAACGATATTTCTTTCTACCGACCTGACTTTTCGAAAATTAATAAAGAAACAAAGCATCTATTCAAATACGAGTATCGACTATAAATAATGTTTAAATAATAAAAATCCGTCGGATTAACAAATAAAAAAAAATCCTTTCTTTAGAAATTGCTTTGTTTACATTGCAGATACGAAAATAAGCAGATATATATATTTCAACAATCGGAGAAAATCTGTGTTTCAAGGCACTATTCAGAGTTTTCTTGCCCATCAACGTGCTCCGTAGAGTTGAAACCACGTTAGATATACTAGCGTTTTTTTCCCTAAAGGAATCCGTGTTCGAATCCTGACGAAGAGCGCATATTTTTCTAATAAGATTTATCGAATATTCATGTATCCCTTATCAACACCACCTAAGACTCTTTGAAAGGTTCCACCAGTTGCCTCTGCAGAATCGTTAACATCCACTGGGGTTACTTCGTTACCCTTAATGAAGTCCTTGAAAAGGCGATCACCAGCATTAAGGCCATGCTGTTGAAGTCCCAGCTATGTTGGCCTGGAGAAGTTTCCAAGATGGAGAATCATTGCCTGTCTTGAATTTTATTGTGCTCTCCACTGGCTATCGCGGCAGAGGGACACTAAAGAAGAGATTCAAAAACTGCCTGAAAAAATCCTTTTCCGCCTGTCACATCGATCATTGTTAATGGTCAACCCTAGCTTAGAACCGTGACGCCTGGCGTCTTACTATCTACCATGATGCCCCCTGCTTTGAAAATACTTTCAGGGCCACTCTCAGGGACAAAAGACACACGAGAAAGTACTGCAGAACTATGCCATTGAGCCCCGGCCGGACTTAAAACTGCAACTGCTGCGACCGTACATACCTGTCTGGCATTGGACATATCAGTCACAAAGTGTCTGCAATCAACGTGAACAAAATCATTATATATATATATATATATATATATATATATATATATATAATTCAGGATTTAAAAAAAATATAAATATATATAACTTCAGAATTTGTTCGATTGATTGATTTGTGATTTACGACCTATCAAAATTTTGAGGGTTATTTAAAGCCAGAAAATTGCTTTAGATTTTAAGAATTTTGTAGATAATAATAATTTTCGATCTAAGTTCTTCTAATTAACCCATAGTTGAGGGAAGGAGAACTGATTCATACATTTCCCAAGGATATTTGCACAATTTATATATATATATATATATATATATATATATATATATATATATATATATATATACACACATATATATATATATATATGTGTGTGTGTGTGTATATATATATTTAAAATTGTAGTTATATAAAACGAATTCTAACCTAAACATCTTTTAAAATTGTAATTATATAAAACGTATTCTAACCGAAAGACCTTCCTCTTAGTACTACAAGCACTTAAGAGAATCCAAAAAACACCTAGACTAAAATGAAATTAATATGCAAAGCTAGAATATGTAAGCCATTGAATGACCCATGTCCTTTGTACTTAAATGAGAAACAATATATTACTAGGTTTATAAAAAAAATAAAAGTTTACTAAATCAGTGAAATTAATTAGCTATTTTTGCCGTTATAAATTTTACTTAAATAATATTTAAATATAATTTTAAAAAAAAATTGTTACCTAATAATATATATACTTATACTTGATATGAAAATAATTCTACATGTTGTAAGGGATTCTAATATATTTACTTGTTCTTAAAAGAAATACAGCATATTAAAAATTAAAAGTGAAAATATTTTTCAAATCGTAGTTAAATAAACCGTATTCTAACCTAAACACCCCCAAAAATCTTTAAATATACAAATAGAAAAAAATGCCGTAAGAATTTTTGCCGTTAACAATAAAATTTAAAAAAATCCAGACGACATGTATTTTACGGATGTTAGATTTCATTGAAAAATACATCCCTACCCCCTACCAAAACGTAACTAATAACTGATACATCAAAATACAGCGATAATGAACACGCAGATCCCCCTTGTCTGGTTGAATTGGATTTATCTGTATCCTTGGAAACGTGAATTATGATTTTTGCCGTGTCTTTAAAACCCAGTAATTGTAAAAGTTACTCCAAAATTCGCTTAAGTATGAAATGGAACTAATGTCTTTAATTTAATTACAAAATTAAATTCGGAGCTTTCAGTTTCCATTTTTGAAACATGGTTAGAACTGTGTAGCGAAAATAGTTTAAATCAATTAATTTATAATATTAATGCTCTGTAAATTTACATTGAGCACTATTTTGTAAAAATAAAAATATCTATAAGAACACCGGATTATATATTTTACTGTTCTTTCTTTATATATATATATATATATACATATATATATATATAGATAGATAGATAGATAGATAGATAGATAGATAGATATGAAATAATGACTGGAACTGGATCACGGCTGTCCGATTTCCAAATCCGAGACATTATCCATTACACCTCACGCATACACAAGCTTACAGCACTTGGTATTCCCAAGCGATCACCTATCTCGATATTGACAAGATTCGACGTTGCTTAACTTCCCTGATCTTGCGAGAACCGGTGTTTCAACGTGATATAGCCGTAAGCAATATAAATTTGAAAGAACGTCTTGTCGCTGAATATGTCAAAGAAATAAATGCTTCTTTGGTCGAAATGGAAACTTATTTTTTTCCCAAGAAATGTCATGGTGCTTTAATTGGGTGCCGGCGCCAAGGCGGGAAATATGCTTAGTGCGTATATTAAGAGCGGGAAATAGAATAAGAAAAAATTAGTGTCAGTCTCGAAAATTCTGACATATCATTCATTTTCATTAAGTTATAATATAAACGTACGTATGTGCTTCTCCCATTCGTACATATGAACTATACTTATACGCATATAAAGTAAATCCCAAACCAAAATAAAATAATACAAATTAAAAATATATATAAACATATATATTAGCTTGGAAAGAAAAAAACCTGATGTTATTTGAAAATGGAAGAAAGTAAATGCTTCTTTGGTCTCAGTTGGTATATTTACATACGATAATATGTCTCCTGTTTATCGATAACATGGTAATTCTCATATAAGTCGTCTCCTTATGAAGAAACATTCGGAATTTATTGATCTAACATCTAGAATTTCTCGAGTTCAATCGATATTAACATTCTTCCCAATACTGTGGGTGTTTCCTTTCTTGCCTTTTGTTTAGTCTACTGTAATTATTGCTGATCGAGCCAAAATTTCTAAGAGATTCCCACAACCTAATCAATTCTACGATACATAGGGACGGTGAAAATTCTATGATACATTCTTGAAATTTAGTACATTTTCAGTTCATCTAAATTGATACTCTCTTCGACTTACATGTTTTACCATTTTAGTTGTTGCTACTGTGGAAAGTCCTCAAGTTATCTGGTTTCTGTTCTCATCTATTGGATAAAGGTTTGGCCAATCGTGCGTAGGATTATTCAGATTTAGAGACAAGGAAATACTCAATATCAATTTCTTTACGATTAATACAAATAATTGCTCATTATTTGAAATGATGAAAATTTAAGCACAATACAGAAATTTTCTGTCTGCGAGACCCCTGGAGAGCAACACACTGTGCCTTCTTAGCCTCACATTTTCAACTGTCTTGAAATGGAACGACTACATCAGAAAAATTATTCTCAATCTATCTTGCATATTTGCAAATCTTCCATTCGTCCATGCGTTGCATAATCCTGCAATATCTGGTTTGGTGCCCTTCTATTCATCTCGCGATTCTTGAGAAGATCCGAAGAAGAATCTGCAATGTAATCTATCCTGACTTGGTATCTCAACTTCAGTCACAATCTCACCGAAGTGATATGGCTTCCCTCTGTCTATTCTACAAATATTTTCATAGTAACTGGTTTTTTTCCCTGGTGTCCGACTACAATAAATTTAAGCGTCCTGTCAGATTGGCAACTACGCCCCACCTGTTAAATAGCTAAATGCAACCGCTACTTCTACACCAACAGATTCTTTTCTCCCCTTTCCCGCCTCTGAGACTCCATTCCTCTTACCTGCTTCCATGATAACCATAATCTTCAAAAAATTAAATGCAATGCCTGTTGCCATCTTCTGTCTTCTTGAAACCCGTTCATTTTTTGTCCTTTCTTCAATCTATACTCAGTCTTTTCTCTCATTTTCACTCCCTGTAAACCCCTGCGTCCTAGTGGCATTTCCACCTTGTTTGGGGTGAAATGATTAAAACGGAAAAAGCCAGACGGACCAAGGTCAGGAGAGGATGGGAAAATATATATATAACTTCCATTGTTAGTGTTATAATCTTTTCTTGGGTGACTCTTTAAGTAAAAGCACGCTTCACCAATAATAGACTCTTTTTTTGCAGATTGTTGCGTTAAATTCACAATCGACGGCAATACTTCTCGCCATTAATATTTTAGTTTTCGTAGACCACTTCTTAATAGACGACTCCTTTTAAATCCAGTCAAGCACAGAGCTTTACCTGTTAAGGTGTATTTGATTGAGGGGTTCTCCTTTATATTGTATGTTATTCTCACTTTTGATGGATAAAATAACAGTCGTCGTCGTCGTCGTCGTCGTCTCTCTCTCTCTCTCTCTCTCTCTCTCTCTCGGTTGTGGATAATGCTCTAGTTCTGTTTACCTCAGTCAGCTGGGATTGTGGACTCCGAGGTTGCTAATGAGACCGATTTCTGCTTGAAAGATCCTTCGACATTGAAGACAGGTTGTTCCACATGGTAGATGAAACCCTGGTTGTTGTTGTCCTTCTCGATATTTTTTTTCCTCTACTTCGGCAGATCTTTTGGATTCAAAAATTGTTGTTCCATCTCCAACAATGGATTTCCTGTCCACTGCACTGGATTCCCAGCTATCGATGTCGATATTACATTTTTTTTTCAAATTTTCTAATAAGATATCCTTGGATCTCTTTTTTTGGCAAACATTTTTCTGAATTCCTTTTTTAAGTTTCTTGATCGTCACCTTACCGCGCATTGAAGACACTTGCGTCTCACAATGTTTCTGTGAAAATACTTTCGGAAGTTTAGATAACAGAGTATGCACATTCTACAATTCGCTTTCCCCGTGAAGTATTCGTTTTTTTTCTTACTATTCAATGACAAGCAGAGGCTAACTATTTATTTTAGCTGAGAAAGAGCCTGTTGATGAGGAAACCACTGACCAAGTTTCGTCATATTTTCAACTTCGTTAATGTATTTTATAATCGTACTGTGACTCCTAATTAAATCTCTTTCTCTCTTCTCGTGCGATTTACACATGATTTCTCTCATCTTCGTTTTGCAAATGTCCAATATTTACAGAAGTTTGACGGAAAACTTCAGGAGAACAATTTCCTGTTCGAAACTGACGGAAGCAATTGTTGGCATGTCTGGACACCTCAAAACTATATTCTAAGAATATTTCTTGACATTTTCTTTGGTAAGGATCCCTTCTTGCGTTCGTACAGCATACAGAATCAGATACGTGACTGATCGAAAGATATTTTCTTCTTTTATGTGCCGTGTCACGGTCTCTCACCACAACTACCTGTCCTTTGTGTCTCTTAGTAAAGTTTGCCTTTTTGCTATCTCTCCTAATCCCTGTTCAGCCAAACAGGTACACAAGTTTGTTCTTCTGCTTCCGTCTGATGTGTTTCTTTTGGACGGGGTTGGGAGATCATAGCTCTCGACAATTTTCTCTACTTTGTGGCTCTTATTAATATTTGTACTTTTGCTTCCTTTGCTAATCTTTGCTCTGCCAAATATTTACAGAGTTCTTTCTTTTTCTGTTATGATGTTAATTTGGGGTTAATAAAGACAAACGCCATATAACATGTAACAATAAAATGGGGTTTATTCGGTTGGTAAGTTGGTACAGATATCGCCTGAGTAGTCTATAACTAACTCAGCCCAGAACTTCTCCGACACTGTCTTTTTACATGCCACTCATTAACGTCCTTGTTTGTAGACGAGTTCATCTTCAAGAGGGGTGGTAGGTTCCTACACAACATTTTCCATATGTCATATCCCTTCAGGACGTGGAGGATCATGTCTTTTTACAACTCCTCCTTTGTGTTTCGTATTAAATTTTGACGTTTGTTTGACTGTCATTTGACGTTTTGACTGTCTTTTCTAAACCTTACTTTGGGAAGAAATTACACAAGCCCAGCTGCTTTCCTCTGTCTTACTTGCCTTCAGTATATCCCATGAGTGTCAAATTCTCCGAGCCCTCTTTTCTTATGTGCTTTAAAATTTTCAATTATCTCTTTCTGACTCTAAGTATAATGTCTATTTTGTTTCCATTTTCCCTAGAACGTCTTCGTCACATATATGTTCGGGATGTTTGGGATTCTATGCATTCTTCTGTAAAACATTAATTATGTTGCCTCACGACTCTTCTTCATCTGAGAGGGCTCGTATATTGCAGGAAAATCGGGATAGCCATTTATCAAATATATTGTTAATGCCTTTAGAATATAAGCGATTATGACCCTCCAAAAATTACCTTTCTTTATTTCATCTGAATTGCTTTGATCTACTGGTAAGGTAGGGACTTTTTTCTATTATTTTCAATTTCTAGACTGAATGGAATTTAATCCGTAATCTAGAGTAGAGGGGAATAAAATGATTCATGCCTTTCATGAAGACATCAGCGGGAAAGAGAACTACACAGTGATTTGAACATGATTCGCCAATTTCACTTTACGCCCTTATAACCGTCACACGACCTGCACACTGTTCTCAAATAATGACTCCGTCAAAAATAGACTTAAAAGTGTGCGATCCTTGTAAACCAATTACATTTTCCTGCACTCAAATTAATCATTTTGAGCTCAAGAAATGTTTTTCGTGAAAACAAAATCTATTTCGTTATTGTTTGAATCGGAAAAAAAAAGTTCACCTTTGGATATATTTGCTACTGATAAAACTGTTTTCCTCTACTCTGATTATCCAAATATAAAATATTAAAAAAAAAATATTCAGTTGTATGCCTATGACACAGCTGCTTATTGTGATATAATAATAAAAATAATGTCAACATTATTTACCAAGAAGATCAAGAATAAGAAATACAACATTCTAATTTATGATCTGTAACCTGAATGAGTGTACTGATGGCGCATACAAACAATCCATCATAAAAATTCAGAACAAAAATTGATAAATAATAAAAATTTCACATACCTCAATGTATAGCACATTTATAAAAAAAACAAAAAAAAAAACGTTTGTATAGGAAGGTGAACACGGGACATTTTGAGCTCGGCGTACCAATATCTAACAACGTAATATTAATATTCCCTGTTCCCGTATAAAGAAACATTCGGTATCCATTTAACGATCAGGATCGGTTTAGCTATGCGTACTTATATCTAACAATATAATTGTAATATTACCCGCTTCCGTATAAGGAAACATTCGGTATCCAATGACCGATAAGGATCTGTTGAGCTCGGCGTACTTATACCTAACAACGTAATAGTAATATTACCCGTTTCCGTATAAGAAAACATTCGGTATCCATTTAGCGATTAGGATCTGTTCAGTTCGGCGTACTTATATCTAACAACGTAATAATAATATTACCTTT